AGGTTAATAAATAAAGGGTTAAACATTCCGTTTCTCTCTTTCCATTATCGAACATTGTAACCATGCAATAATATTGAAATAGAGCCGCATTGAAGTCCATTTCGAAATCGCGTTTTGCATGATTGTTACGAACCCATCCAGCGTTATTGTCATTAATATGATTATCATTATCGTCATTAGCGCGAATGCTCCATGCCGCGCACGAACGCGCAATCTCTTCGCGAAGCCATCGACAACGCATGGTCATGCCTCGGTATAAGCGACTTTCCGCTTCCGGTACGACCGTAATCGGCAACGAAGATTCTCCCACCGGTTACCGTTTCCAAGCTCAAATTCGATAAACAATGTATATCTAATGGTTCCCGATAAGAAGCATTTAGTAATTTTAATTAAGGAAACTACTTCCGGATTGACTTTACGTTCAACTCCGATATGAAAATTTGGAATTCAAATAAATTTTTCAGCTAATCCTTCATATCAAAAATATTTTACCAAGGCGTATAATTTTACGTTAATACTTTAGAAGAATAATTTATTAATATATGAATAGATTTATATGATTACAAATTTTAATATACAATTATATTAATATAAATTGATAATTAGATTGAAATGATTAAAAATGTTTAATTATATATGTATATCTAATCACATATTAATAAATTATATTATGAAATACATATAAGTTTATAAATATCTGAAAACCACCCAAATACTATATGTATATTCAGGAATATCTTTTCATTGTTAATGAATATTGAATGATTAAATCTTTAATATTTATATATACCTACATTAAAATACGAGTATATTAATGTTTTTTTTATACTTGCGACCAAATGGAGAAACGTGTGCACTCTATTTGCAAGTTTTACAAAGTAGTTCCGAAAATACTCGCGTATTCGTAAAATTTTATTCTGTGATCGACTTTTTTCCGGCCGTTTGAACCTTCCGCGGATTGCTTGCTCAAACGATTTCGTAACTCTCGGCGCCGCGGTGCCCGGATTATCTTGTTACTTCAAACCAGCTTAACATACCTTTCCCGTACATCGACTTCTGTACACCATACACGTACCGCGCACGTCGGTCGCACATGTCGTGGCAATGTCAAAGTTAGCCTTGTCCATTTACACTAACCTTCATGCCCGATTGGCTGAACGCGACAACATGAGGAAATCACGATTGCAGATTGAAGAAACAAACAGTATTTCACAATACACGATTTTATTTAGACCTCGATACTTTGATTTCTATGTAAAATTGTTCCAACAAAGTGTGTGTGTGTGTAGTATAAAATATTTTATATTTTTATTGAAAACATTTGGGATATGTAAAAAATGTTAAATTTAACACAAATTCTCCAACTGTGTAAAGTTTAAAATTTGTTGAAGTATTAAAACCACGCGATTTAGCTCAAGTTAATCTTTGCTTCAATTTTCAATATTAAATAGAGTTCGTTCACGTTGCATAAAACCAAATAAAAATTAAGATTTAAAGTTTTATTAATTATTTAGAATTCGACTATATTTACTTGTTTCACATATAAATAAAAAATAGAACACGAATGAAAAAAGGACGAAAAATTCGTTTATATCGAAACGTCATTCAGCTCCAGGTTGTACATTGAGTTGAGACGATTTCTATTACGATTATAAAGAAGTTAATGACGAAATAAAGACATAGTCATAGATATACACTCCACAGGCTGTCGCCTTGCAAGTCGATCCCCCCAAACATCGTGTCGAGCAAGCGTGTCGCTCATTGACCCTAGTGTTCCAAGGATGTCCGATGGAAATTGACTAACGTCATCGCGCAAAACAATCTCGTGAAATAATTACTATTTCGAGATATCGCGATTCAAGAACTCTCGTGTCTTCTCTCGATAATTTATCGTTTGAGATTTCGGATATATCGAAATCCAAATTTTTCTCCTTTTCTTCGCAAAAGGAGCAAGTTATTGATATAATCTTCTGAAAATCAGCATTATTTGCTTGACAAAATTCTACTAAGATGTCGAAGATACGAGAGTCTCTCATTTTCTCATCATAATCAGAGACACGCGCAAGTGTCACTCGAGACGAGACGAGAAACTCGGCGATTTCTTTGTGATGATGATAAACAGACTAAACATGCAACGCAAAGTCTTACAGTTTCATTATGCTCATGTTTGCTCTTTACTTAATAATAAAATTACAGACCACATAGCGTCTCGCATTAATTACATATTACCTCATCCCTTTCTACGAGATAAAATATATTTCACAATCGGAATAGTATATCCTTGAAATACTCAATTAATTTTCTTTCACGTTCTTATGTGACTTCTTAACTGAATATATACTTAACTTAATCTTTGCATACATATTAAAGACAAATTAAATAAACCAAACTCCGCAGAAAAGAATCAGTTCCCAGTAAAATATCGTTACGTTCTGTAATTACGTAATTGAATTAGTAATTTTATTAGACATCGTCCTAAGTATTTGTTGCAATCCTTGAATATAGTTCTTTAACTTAACTTTCATTTTTATTTTTAATTTGTCATGGCTTTATAAAAGGTCCTGTGAAGACCGTAATAACGCTTGAGGAGAAATTTCATAACAAAATCAATAATTAAAATTAATTTTTCCTTTGCATACGTAATCTTCATATCCATATTAACAAGAGCCATAATAGCTTTCGCTTTTAATACTTTGCGTTGTACCACACCATTTTTATAGACGATATAATTTGCTAACTTTAAATGCGCTTATGATTCAAAACCTATTACATTCTCGACATTTTAGCATTAATTTTGCGTCTTAAAATAATTTCAAGAATCTTAAACTGTTTTTTACATATGGGACATCCTGTATAATAAACATTCAACTATTTGTCTACTTATCTATTATATATTTTTTCTATTTATTTTCGTAGAAATAATGTTATATGCATTCTCAATATTTGTCAAATAACATAAATATTTCTTAATTCCATTCTAATTTTCGAAATATCTTTAAGCATTCGGATAACAAAATACATTGAGAAAGTCGCCTCTTTTTTCCTTTATCACAAAATCGAAGCGACCGCAAAATAAAGAAAGTAATAATAGATCTGTTGCTTGTACTTTTTGCACTCGTCATCACTTCTCTCTTTTCAACACCCTAAAAAATATTTTTTTTTTTCTTTTTAAATGCTAAAACTCAATCAAACATAACATGTCTAAATATGGTGAGTCTCTTAGTAAGTAACATATTACGTAATTCAAGTAATTTTATTACGCACTTTTTATTAGACATTGTCCTAAATCATTTTCGCAATCCTTAAACGTAATTTTTTTTTAATTTAACTTTTATTTTTAATTTGTCACGGCTCTATAAAAGGTCGTATGACTATAAATAAACTATAATAGAGAAACGAAGTATATAAAAAAAATGTTTAGAGAGTTCAAGCGATTCAAACAGACCTATTAATTCGCATTAAGGCATAATCGTTCATCGATCGCAACCTGCTCCTTTCGCAAGCGAGCTGCACTCTTCGCAAAAGTTCACGAGGCCGCGCGAAAACCCGACACGTCGACGCGTCAGAAAAGGTTATAGCCGGTTCGTGAATTCTCGCGTTGAGTCTGTATACACCGAAATGAAATCCACGTTACTCACCGGGATGACTCGTCGCGCACTTCCGTCCTCTCTGTCCTTCCGCTTTCTCTCTCGTCTCCTCACGCCGGTGTGTAGCTCCGCCGAATCCGTCTGGCGCCGTAAATTCGACGATTACCGTCGCACACCTTCGTCACGCACTGCGCGTCCGTGTGCGCCTCCCTTTCGCGGAGCGGCGCGGCGCGGCGCGAATTTCGTAGGAGAGAAATTTCGGAGGACGCGGGAACGACGCGCGACGAACGATCCGCTCGCGTCGTAGGAACGTCACGGAGTCGCGCGGCTCCCGGGAACCGTCTCTATCTCTCTTTCTCCCTTTCCCCGTCGCGAGCGAGCGGACCGTGCGCGGAGATACGATATCGATACAAACCTCAGACCGTCATGCACTGACTGCCGGCGCCCGCCGCCCGGCCGGCCCGCCGCTGCCGCCGCCGCGACGGCCTTCTGCGCATGTCGCCATTGGCGCGCGCGCATATCCACCAAGTTCGAACGGAACCCCGCCGCTCGCGCCGCGCCAACGAACCCTTATACCACCGAACCTCGGAAGATTTATTCGCGCATTTAAACATTACCCAGTCGATCAGAATGTTAATCAATCTGTTTTTTCAACGATCTTTCGACTCAAGGAAATACACGTTTATGTAGTACCGTTTACAATGTACTATCTGCAATGAAAATTTTTCCATCTTTCTATCATTTTCAAATATCTGCAGATGTTTTGCCTACTCAAAAAGAAAATAATTTTCCTAATATCTTTTTAATAAAAAATTGTAATTTTGCTGAATCATCAAAATAATTATGTAAAATTCTTAAGCGTTGGTAACAAAAAATGTTAATATTTTAGCAACCAGTTTAAGTATCCTACATAATTATTTTGTTTAATAAAATTATTTTTGGATGCTTAGGTAGCTAAATTTTTAAATACTTTAGTAAAATTGTTCTTTCCAAGTAGCAAAGTTTGTCGCAATGCGTACATATTGGTTTTTTAGTATTATAGAAGTAATAAGCTGTATTGGTATAATAATCGGTATAAAAAAAGTGAAAACGAATTTATTCCATCGTCGATAACATAACTGTCATCATCCGTGTTTTTGTACCTATCCACGGTATTAATACATCGACACATGGTACACGTCGATATCTTATTTCACACTTTTCGCGAATAAAGTTACCGACCGTATATACGAGGTGGCTATTAATTCTCTAATGACAATTATATAACAATAAAAACATTATTTTATTAAATATCTACCATACATTTAACGCATAAAATAATTCTACTCCCTCCTTCTGTCCTTAATCATATTTCTTTGAAAGAAAAAAAAAATGTATGTATGTACTCTTTTCTTGTGATTCAGATATGGAACTCTACTCACAAGGTATTCCCATAAAAGCGGCCGAGTAATTCCCCTTGCCGGTATCGTCGAACACGACTCTGTCGTTGACGACCCAGCGGCTGTAGCGAATTTCTGCGATGAAACGAAAGCCCATCTTCAGGGCTAACGACTGGCTTAAACCCGACGTGAAGATGGCACCTACGGCTGACATGTCCAATATGGACGCAACTTGGGTGCAGACCTTCAATAAGGCCGTGCCGACACCTTTCTGCTGGTAAGACGGATGAACGCAAAGAACGTGAACTCGAAGATATATGTCGCAGTCAAATTCTTTGTACATGTTCGACCGTTTTATTAGAGCATTGACCAGGCCCATAATTTTCTCTAGTGCGTCTCCTTCAAAATTCTAAACCGAATATTTCTTATTATTATATTGTATAATTTATTCAATTCGACTTATCTAGCTGATTTAGGAAACTTATCTAACTAGATATTGTTTGTATTCTATAATCTTATTTGAAATCGTCTTAAATATTATATAGATAATCTTAAAGGATCACCTAAATACAAACTTAAATATAAGATCGGACTATGAAAACTTCTTCCAGTTTCTCCGTTATTGCATATAAAAAATATTTGTTTGTATAATATAAAATAATAATAATAAATGTTTGCACGTGTCAAAAGTTTTAATTATTTGCTATTCTGGTTGCATCGAATTCTCATGCCCGTTTCTATCAATATAAATCAACTTTATCTCGATTTTTAATAATTTACTGACGTGCTCTTCATCTTTCTATAATTTTATAATAGAATTAGTAAAAGATGAAAAGTTAATTGAATCGAGATTAAAATTAAACTATACATTGCTAGAAACAAGCATTACATTTGAAACTGCAATAAAATTGCACATACTTGCACTCGATTGTATGTGTCGCTTTTGTCCGAATTGCTATTAATTCGAGTAACAGCAACTCCAATAACTCGTCCAGATGCCAGACTGAGCGCAACCAAACTGGTAGTATCCTTCATCCATGTTCTCATAAGATCTAGATATGACTTGATAGATGTCTCATCTTGCGACAAGGCGATTGCTTTACACATTGGTTCCTCTCGAAAAAAATGATGCTGCGGAGATATCAGTAATCTTTATTTATTTACAATAGCAAGAAATGAATAAATCTTCCATTTTCTATTATTCTATAGTTTTAATGAAATTACTGTTAGAGAGTGAGCCTACATGAGAATGAAATCAGTTACGAATTCATTATTTGATATCTTACGAGAGTTCTCTGAAATAATGGGTCTCCTCAAGTTGTGGTAATCACATAATGATAACATGCGAGCGATAAATGAGATAATTGCGATTTTCTAATTGGATTTTGTGGAGAAAAGTATTTTACAAATGAAAGGAATAGAAAAATGCAGAACAAGGAAAGTCGAAAAAAATGTCATTTACGCAGTTTCGTACGATCAAAGCTTAATTATAATAATTGGTGTTGAACTATTCAACGCAAGCGTGTTGTTCTCTCTAGATATTCCCGCTGCTGAACTTTTATCAAACGCAGGGCTTCCTCATAATGCTCTTCCTTGAGATCCTGGATTTTGCATATCGCCGGTGAATCCCACTCCAAAGGTGCGTACATTCTCGCTTCCATTTCAATAAAATCGTCCTTATTTTCTTCATCCATGACAAAGTTTATAACAGTAATTTATTTTATTAGTTATAAATAAATATAACCGTAAACTAAATAATGTTTTCTAAAATCTGTTTTGTCGATCAACAGTTTGAAGTGAAGTGAGATTTTCATTCTTTACTATATATGTATATATAATACTGCGTCAAAAATGAACAAAATTTAAATTAAAAAAAATGTTTTAAAGTTTGAAATCTCTACTTTTAAAAGATTTTTATAATTTTTTAAATGTACCAATTTATGTAAATTTGGTTATTTTTACATATACAAAAAACAAGCTAAAAAAGAAAAAATTTTCTTCTCACTTAGATGTTGTTATATGTATATGTACCAAAAAAGAATTTGCGAAAATTTTCGACTATTTAACGTGAAAATTTAAATTTTTCCTAAAAATTTGTTTTTAAAAAATGTTGCTACAATTTTTTGTTCCTGAGTTATTCGCGAGTTAAATAAAGGGACATTTTTATTTTAATTGCTTTATAACTCCGTTAAAAATCATTATGTCGCAATTAAAAAATTCAAATTCTTAAAACTGGAACTTTGCTTTAACGAATAGTATAATCGTTAATTTTTTAAATGTACAATATATACAATTTTGAGCAAACAAAATACCACAGAACTTTCTCTCCAACCAATACTTACCTGTTACCGACGGTCGGTTGTTTGTTCTTGATGCACCCGGCCTTGTGTGCTGTCGTTAATAGTCGATCGCCCTTGCCACATTCTTTAATACGAAACTTATGCACAAACGCATTGTGCGTCTCATAAATTTTATTATTATATTACTTAAATGACAGCATTGTCATTTATAACTGTAATTTGAAAATCTTTTGGCATAAATAAAATTAATTTTATGAAACGAACGAAGAAAATATTATCTTAAAATTTTAATACTATAAAATTCTTCCAATTACATTGACAATGTAATATCTTTGCCTTGGAATCGTACAGAGTCCAAATTACAACTCATCCTTCAAATGTCTAAATATATTTCCATTGTCCTTTAATCTGCGTGTTAAGGAATCCCAAAATGTCATTCTTTGCCAAAGAAGACTGTGATCCATTGTAATTTTCTTCGAGTTCTCTATGCGCAGATATTCCGGTGCGGAATCTGTCTTCACGGGCTTCCACTTTAATGGAATTACTTTAGTAACTTTTGGCGTGGGATTTCTAAAAGAACATTTGTCTAAATATTATGCTGAAAATTTGTTTACAGCTTCGTCTTATTAAAAAGGGAATTCATAAATACGAAAATAAGTAAAAGTCTAATAAAATAAAAAATATGGATTAAAAACTTTAACGGAAAATACTTAACGCAATAATTAAATTGAGTTCATCTAATTTTACACCAATTATTTTAATATTATTATATTTAAATTTCAATATAATTTTGAACATTCTTTATAGATTTAATTTATACATTTGTATTTTTTCTTTGCTATCAATTAGATATTAACGCTTACCCGGAATTTGCAAAATTATACCAAATGTAAGTCATGACATCGATCATTTTGTGATCTTCTTCAGACAACGCCGTGTTCGGAAACAATTGTTCACCTACGGGGAACAAATACTGTAAATCATCCGCGTGCGATACTCCATAATCTCTTACTGGGTCGCCAAATATTGTGCTGAATGATACGCTTCCTTTATAAGCAAAGTAGTAATAAAAGACTGGTGAAGTTTGATTTACAATAAAATCTTGCACAGCTTCGTGAGTACCATGGTTAAACCATGAGTCGCTATACATCTAGAAAATGACGTTAATAAATCACATTAATAGATTAATTATTAACAAATTCGATTTTTCTAAACTACGTAGAGATGAACACAATTATAAATATTACTTATTTCTTTAGAGCTTTGCAATAATCTTTTATTTTAGAAATTTAAATTACAAAAATAATTAAATAAAATACTCTTATGATATTTCAATACATTATTCAAATCAAATGAGTCATATGTATTAAAATTTCTAATTGTGCAGTAAACTGTATAATTATTTGAACTTACGTCGACAACTTTAAATCTGGTATCTTCAGTATAGTCGATAGCATTGTAGCCGAAATAGAAGTTGCGAATGGTGGCAGTTATCTCATTTTGTAAATCCTCATTCGTGACGTTATATCTCTCATCATAAAATAAACTCATAGGCACAATTTTGTTAAAGTTAGTCTCCAATTCTTTCACATTTTGTTCCCGTCCGTAAATACCTGAGAAACGCATATAATTATTCCTCCTTATTCATTGATATCTTAGTTTATTCACAGAAAATTATTAAATCTCAAAAACAACACTATATACAAAGATAATGTATTAAAAAGATGCGACCAATACATAACAAATTAAAAAGTTAGTTAATTGATAATAAAAAAACTGAACTTATTTTTTATTTAGAGGTCATAGATTTTCAATGAAATTTTAAAATTATGCTTTATCAAGGAACTTTTGGCACACACACACACACACACACACACACACACACACACACACACACTTCTATATTATAAAAAAAATTACCTTATTTTAAGATTATTTCTATCAAAAGATTCCGAAGAAATTTTGTTTGAAAAATATTTATCAATTTTTTATAAGATAATTTTTATAATATACAAATTGCAAAAGCTCTTCGATAAAGTACAATTTTAAAATCTCATAAAAAAATCTATGATTCTTATATAAAAGTTAAAAAGATAAATCAAGTTTCTATATTGAATAATTAGCCTTTTCAAGCTTAATCCTATACAGTCCCTACCTGCTACTCTTAGAGCTCCTTCTTCCGAAGTGAACCCTGTCATCCAAGGTACGTCAAGGAGGCGGCCTTCTCGCACAGAAATTAGAGGATCCTCTATCAGGAAAGCACCTGGATGTTCAGGTTCAATTACTGGTCGGAATGGTATCATTGGACAGTAACCAAATTTCTACAATGAAGCAATTAATAATTAAATAAAATTATAGAAAAAATATATAATTTACTGAGAATATGTATAATAACACATTCAATAAAGAAGCATAATGAAATCGTCGAAAATGCAAAATGAAATGTGCCAAATGAATGTATAAAAATTCAAAAAGAGGGCGTAAAGATATTAAAGACTTTTAAATTAATATCATAATCAGCTATTGCAGTGACTTTGTAGAAAATTCATGCTTATCATACGTGCATCTTTACTACTCGTTCTCTGTTTTCATATCAGTTGATACACGATAGGCGTGAATAAAAATATCAACGTGCAAAAAAGTTGGCGTGTACAAATGTTCACGCACATATTCAGATTCACCAAACTGGTTTTCCTCCTATTACTGGAACTTCGGCATGTTTATCCGTCTCAATCCGATATTTATCTTCAAAATGTCATACGTGAGAAAAATTTCCATAATGTGCAGCGCAATTTGTGTAAACAAAATTTATTTCTTATTACCAAAGAAATACTTAAATCAAAATATTGCTAACATATATATTAGATTCAACAAGCAATTTTATTATTAGATAACATAAAGTACCGAATTCACAATCATGAATAATCACTTTTTAACTTCATCTTAATTTTCTATATATATATTAAAGACACGTCTATTCTAAAGTGATAAACGATGTGAAATCATCGCGTGACTATCCATGGATAATTTACATGCACCCATATCGATAAAGTGCCTACCTGTCAGCGCGTGTAATTTCTGAGGCTGATGCACGCACAGATACAGAACTTATCTTACGGCTGCACTTTTAACAGCTACGCTTGAATGCATTTGAAACATTTTAAGCAAGGAGTTCATGTAAAACGTGAGTACTACGGAACCAAGCGTGAAGGCTTTTAAGTATATAATCGAGATTACATCAGAGATGATAAGTGACCCACATACATACATTATACATACACAGATATATCTTAAACACACCGAGTCAACTTTCACACAAACTTATTAATTTCACGTGACTTAACATTACTATAATAATGTTTCCACATCGATGTGCGCAAATATATTACCAATTGAGCACCGATTGGCAGCTATACGAATTTTTTAGATAGATGTTGAAATATTGTAAATAACTAAGAAATACACGAGAAACGCATATATGGCACACAAGTAATCATTTAATTGACGGCATTAAAAATATTGTAATTAAACAGTTCGAATAGTGGAAACTATTTTACTACTGCAAAATATCATCAACTAAGCGATTGTGAATTCGCTCGCTCTCGTCAAAAAGTTTATCGTTTACGTATTTTCTCATGTCGATTAAATTTTATTACCTTGAAAAGATGATCAGTACCAATGATTTCTTCCGCGCTCTTCGTTTGCAGGCATTCAATGAGATCCTTGGAATTCTCGTTGTTGCATTTTAAATGCTTACCCAAAGTCACAGCTCTCATTCTGGCAATTCCTGGTGACGTTAAAGTCCACGGGTTGTAGAAGTTGCCACTTTGAGAAATACCGCGGTGAAAAAATCCTGCGTTATTGAGAAAAACGTAAACATTTCCCGGTTGTAAAAACGAGTTATGCCAATTAAGGCATCATGCTGGAAAAAAGATCATTATTAATGATTCCCGATTACACCATTAATAAGACAGATAGTACACACGCTGAATATATTGTCTGTACAAATATATGAAAATATGTAACATTTTCTTACGTAACATTTTAATTGAAACTTTTAGGAATTTTCTTAAAATTTAGTACTTCTTCAATTCGACATTTTATCATATGTTGTAAAAAATTTAAGAATAAATATCAGTATTCTTATAATACTCAACGTAATATATAAACATAAAATATTATTCTTTTACTAGAATAATGCTTTTTATTAATTAATTAGCTTTGAATTTATTTAATACAATAGAATTATAAAAGTTTTTATTAAGGCTGAAACGCCAATAACTACGTCAACAAACTCATTAAAAGAAAGCTTGTTAAACTACATTTAAATATCGCTCTGTTTGACAATAAGAAACAAAGAAATGTTAATTAATTTTTTTTTTAATTTATTTGATCAGTTTTGCAATTCACTTTATATCATTAATGTTATTAATTACTTCCAGAAAGAAGATTGCAAT